TCAATTTAATGTTAATTAAATTGATAATATTTTATTGTCTTGAAATTACTAATGAGCTGCTGATTGTTTGAGATATCAGAATAATATTTATTCTGATTTGAAATAGTATTCAAGATAATTGAAGGTTGCATGAAAATTGAAGAAGATATGAAAGATATCATGGGATCAGTATTCAAGATAATTGAAGATTCCATAAAGATTGGAGAAGATATGGAAGATATCATGAAGAGATATAAAAGCATGGAATCAAGTAAAGATTAGGAAAGATTTTATCTTTTTAGATTTCATGTAAGAGAAATAAAATGCCAAAGATTTGATTAGGATTGCATTGCATAATAGATTAAGATGTTATTATTATAAATAGGGCTCATTGCATATTATTTCAGTGTGGAGAAAATACGAGAAATAGAAGAGAGAAGAATATACAAGAAAGAAAATAGAAAATTATATTTTTAATATTAGGATTCTTTCTTGTGCATCAATTGAAGAGCTTTCTCAAGAACATTCATACATTCATTCATACATTCATTCATACCCCAATTATATTTGTATAAAGTATAAACACTCGTAAGCAGAGGCTCTTAAGTTTCATAAAAGAAATATTCATTATGAGAACTCTGATTCACATTCATTCATCCTTCCAGTATTTATACAACCATTGTAAGAAAGAAAAAGAGAAAAGCTAAAAGCGGGAAAGCGTAATAGAATGTAACCAACACATGCCTCATTCTGTTTTACTTATCCACGTGTCATAATCTTAACATTATAGTTAGTTATATGAATTAAACTGTTCCTTTTCTGATTTGGAACTACGTTGCTCCAAAGAGAGGCATCAAGTTGTTGCTTCGGTGCCCATTAACTAATTTCAGCTTTAGCCCGCGGTTTTGAATTTTGAAAAGCAAGACTCTGCTTTGTTTTCGTTTCGTTGCTCGTTGATCGTTGTCTTTGTGGGGAAGAGTGTGGAAGCTTAACGAACGTTGACGATCGTCATGAACATATCTGAGGAAACTTCTGGGGCTGTTGGTGATGGGTCAAATTCAAGTGATTATTTTGGCAGACATACTATTGCAAATGCTGCTGCTAAAGTTGGACCTTCCGTTGTTACTATTGTGGTTTCCCAAGGTATACATTTAGGGTTCTTTTTTAACCTTAAAAAGTTTTGTGCTTTGATGCCCTTTTAGTTTATTCTGAAGATTAGGCATCAACCGTGTAGATTTGAATGGTATTACTACCAAAAGGAGTATAGGATCGGGAACCATCATCGACAAGGATGGTACAATCTTGACATGTGCTCATGTCGTGGTTGATTTTCAAGGAACCAGAAGTTTTTACAAAGGGAAGGTTTGTGTACATGCTAAGTCATATCTTTCCAACATAGACTTGTAACATTAAAGCTTTCTGTGATGCAAATTTGAGATCTTGTACAATATGGATGTTTCTCAAACATATATCTCGAGTACATTGACATGAATCTAACTTCAGGTTAGAGTTATAGGAATTTTTTTGATAGATTTCTGTTGAAGGTGTTACGATTGTTGCTTGCTCTATGACTTTGGGTGAGACAAAGCTAGGGTGGCTTAGGATATGGTTTGGGTAAGTCAGAACTTTCTGTCATGGTTTGAAAATTCATTGGTCCATTCCCAACAAAATAGGGTATTACTAGATTGTTATTCAATTAGTTTTGATTGCCTACACAACTGAATGGAAATGATTCTTCGGCACACTGATAGAACCCAAAGTAAAATTACACAAAATAAAGCTGAAACTATGGAAATTTGCATTAAGCTCACTGAATATCATGATGATATCGGTGGCGTGCGAATGGAGAAGTACAGAAAAGAAAATGATATCCGGCTTTGGAGGCCATTCTCTCCCCCTTTCGATTTCTGTCTCAGTTATTGTTACCCCTCTTCTATCTCTTCCCTGTTCTTATGTAATCCTGTTGGATATTTGTTATACCCCAATTGTTGAATTGATTTAAAATATGTTTGATGATTACAATCAATTTAATGTTAATTAAATTGATAATATTTTATTGTCTTGAAATTACTAATGAGCTGATTGTTTGAGATATCAGAATAATATTTATTCTGATTTGAAATAGTATTCAAGATAATTGAAGGTTGCATGAAAATTGAAGAAGATATGAAAGATATCATGGGATCAATATTCAAGATAATTGAAGATTCCATAAAGATTGGAGAAGATATGGAAGATATCATGAAGAGATATAAAAGCATGGAATCAAGTAAAGATTAGGAAAGATTTTATCTTTTTAGATTTCATGTAAGAGAAATAAAATGCCAAAGATTTGATTAGGATTGCATTGCATAATAGATTAAGATGTTATTATTATAAATAGGGCTCATTGCATATTATTTCAGTGTGAAGAAAATACAAGAAATACAAGAAAGAAAATAGAAAATTATATTTTTAATATTAGGATTCTTTCTTGTGCATCAATTGAAGAGCTTTCTCAAAAACATTCATACATTCATTCATACCCTTTATTTACATTCATTCATACTCTAATTATATTTGTATAAAGTATAAACACTCGTAAGCAGAGGCTCTTAAGTTTCATAAAAGAAATAGTCATTATGAGAACTCTGATTCACATTCATTCATCCTTCCAGTATTTATACAACCATTGTAAGAAAGAAAAAGAGAAAAGCTAAAAGCGGGAAAGCGTAATAGAATGTAACCAACACATGCCTCATTCTGTTTTACTTATCCACGTGTCATAATCTTAACATTATAGTTAGTTATATGAATTAAACTGTTCCTTTTCTGATTTGGAACTACGTTGCTCCAAAGAGAGGCATCAAGTTGTTGCTTCGGTGCCCATTAACTAATTTCAGCTTTAGCCCGCGGTTTTGAATTTTGAAAAGCAAGACTCTGCTTTGTTTTCGTTTCGTTGCTCGTTGATCGTTGTCTTTGTGGGGAAGAGTGTGGAAGCTTAACGAACGTTGACGATCGTCATGAACATATCTGAGGAAACTTCTGGGGCTGTTGGTGATGGGTCAAATTCAAGTGATTATTTTGGCAGACATACTATTGCAAATGCTGCTGCTAAAGTTGGACCTTCCGTTGTTACTATTGTGGTTTCCCAAGGTATACATTTAGGGTTCTTTTTTAACCTTAAAAAGTTTTGTGCTTTGATGCCCTTTTAGTTTATTCTGAAGATTAGGCATCAACCGTGTAGATTTGAATGGTATTACTACCAAAAGGAGTATAGGATCGGGAACCATCATCGACAAGGATGGTACAATCTTGACATGTGCTCATGTCGTGGTTGATTTTCAAGGAACCAGAAGTTTTTACAAAGGGAAGGTTTGTGTACATGCTAAGTCATATCTTTCCAACATAGACTTGTAACATTAAAGCTTTCTGTTATGCAAAATTGAGATCTTGTACAATACGGATGTTTCTCAAACATATATCTCGAGTACATTGACATGAATCTAACTTCAGGTTAGAGTTATAGGAATTTTTTTGATAGATTTCTGTTGAAGGTGTTACGATTGTTGCTTGCTCTATGACTTTGGGTGAGACAAAGCTACGGTGGCTTAGGATACGGTTTGGGTAAGTCAGAACTTTCTGTCATGGTTTGAAAATTCATTGGTCTGTTCCATACAAAATAGGGTATTACTAAATTGTTATTCAATTAGTTTTGATTGCCTTCACAACTGAATGGAAATGATTCTTTGGCACACTGATAGAATCCGAATAAAATTACACAAAATAAAGCTGAAACTATGGAAATTTGCATTAAGCTCACTGAATATCATGATGATATCGGTGGCGTGCGAATGGAGAAGTACAGAAAAGAAAATGATATCCGGCTTTGGAGGCCATTCTCTCCCCTTTCGATTTCTGTCTCAGTTATTGTTACCCCTCTTCTATCTCTTCCCTGTTCTTATGTAATCCTGTTGGATATTTGTTATACCCCAATTGTTGAATTGATTTAAAATATGTTTGATGATTACAATCAATTTAATGTTAATTAAATTGATAATATTTTATTGTCTTGAAATTACTAATGAGCTGATTGTTTGAGATATCAGAATAATATTTATTCTGATTTGAAATAGTATTCAAGATAATTGAAGGTTGCATGAAAATTGAAGAAGATATGAAAGATATCATGGGATCAGTATTCAAGATAATTGAAGATTCCATAAAGATTGGAGAAGATATGGAAGATATCATGAAGAGATATAAAAGCATGGAATCAAGTAAAGATTAGGAAAGATTTTATCTTTTTAGATTTCATGTAAGAGAAATAAAATGCCAAAGATTTGATTAGGATTGCATTGCATAATAGATTAAGATGTTATTATTATAAATAGGGCTCATTGCATATTATTTCAGTGTGGAGAAAATACGAGAAATAGAAGAGAGAAGAATATACAAGAAAGAAAATAGAAAATTATATTTTTAATATTAGGATTCTTTCTTGTGCATCAATTGAAGAGCTTTCTCAAGAACATTCATACATTCATTCATACATTCATTCATACCAGTTATTTACATTCATTCATACCCCAATTATATTTGTATAAAGTATAAACACTCGTAAGCAGAGGCTCTTAAGTTTCATAAAAGAAATATTCATTATGAGAACTCTGATTCACATTCATTCATCCTTCCAGTATTTATACAACCATTGTAAGAAAGAAAAAGAGAAAAGCTAAAAGCGGGAAAGCGTAATAGAATGTAACCAACACATGCCTCATTCTGTTTTACTTATCCACGTGTCATAATCTTAACATTATAGTTAGTTATATGAATTAAACTGTTCCTTTTCTGATGTGGAACTACGTTGCTCCAAAGAGAGGCATCAAGTTGTTGCTTCGGTGCCCATTAACTAATTTCAGCTTTAGCCCGCGGTTTTGAATTTTGAAAAGCAAGACTCTGCTTTGTTTTCGTTTCGTTGCTCGTTGATCGTTGTCTTTGTGGGGAAGAGTGTGGAAGCTTAACGAACGTTGACGATCGTCATGAACATATCTGAGGAAACTTCTGGGGCTGTTGGTGATAGGTCAAGTTCAAGTGATTATTTTGGCAGACATACTATTGCAAATGCTGCTGCTAAAGTTGGACCTTCCGTTGTTACTATTGTGGTTTCCCAAGGTATACATTTAGGGTTCTTTTTTAACCTTAAAAAGTTTTGTGCTTTGATGCCCTTTTAGTTTATTCTGAAGATTAGGCATCAACCGTGTAGATTTGAATGGTATTACTACCAAAAGGAGTATAGGATCGGGAACCATCATCGACAAGGATGGTACAATCTTGACATGTGCTCATGTCGTGGTTGATTTTCAAGGCACCAGAAGTTTTTACAAAGGGAAGGTTTGTGTACATGCTAAGTCATATCTTTCCAACATAGACTTGTAACATTAAAGCTTTATGTGATGCAAATTTAAGATCTTGTACAATATGGGTGTTTCTCAAACATATGTCTCGAGTACATTGACATGAATCTAACTTCAAGTTAGAGTTATAGGAATTTTTTTGATAGATTTCTTGGGTGAGACAAAGCTAGGGTGGCTTAGGATATGGTTTGGGTAAGTCAGAACTTTCTAAGTCATGGTTTGAAAATTCATTGGTCCATTCCCAACAAAATAGGGTATTACTAAATTGTTATTCAACTAGTTTTGATTGCCTTCACAACTGAATGGAAATGATTCTTTGGCACACTGATAGAACCCAAAGTAAAATTACACAAAATAAAGCTGAAACTATGGATTTTTGCATTAAGCTCACTGAATATCATGATGATATCGGTGGAGTCAGTGTCAGAGCCAGGATTTAATTTTAGTCGGGGCCAAAAGTTTGACATATGAAATTATCAAAATATTTTTATAATTATACAAATTTATTAGAAAAAATTTACTTAAAATTTTTAAAGTAATAGGATTGATGTTATTTTAACAAATAATAAATATTTATTTAATATTTAAAATATAATATAAAATTAATTTAGTGAAGAAAGTGCAAATTATATGTATATATACATATGTAAAATTTTCATGTGATTTTTATGAACATTTTCATGTGATCTTTATGAACATTATTTCATATGAAGTTAATGGAATTTTATTTCATGTGATGTTAGTGAAAATTTATTTCATGTGATCTTTGTGAATAATTGTTTTTATCTTTTATATTTTAATTTGGTTGGGCCTATAAACTTTAGTTTGCAACTTGGTAGGCCGTATATGTTGTATTAGGTTTTTTAGTTTTTTATAATAGGTCAGGCCAAACCTATAAATCAAGTCTTTAATAGGCTAATAGGCTAATATAAGATCTAAATATTTTACATAGGCTTAGGTCATCAAAGCCAAAGTTTGGCCTTAATTGGCCCATTTATACCCTTAGTTGTGATCTGTGAAGAACATCAATGTAGAGAGACAACAAACTTCACAATTCAAAAGAAGGGAGTTACTAATCTCATGTTGCTTGAGATAGTTCTCTCATGTGTGCGAGATAAATATATGGGGTCCACACTTTAAAACAAAAGAAAAAAGAAATGGAAAAAGCTAGCACAAAATTCGATCAGTGTATAACATGAGAGAGCTATCTCCAACGAAATGAGAAATATTTCCTTGAAAAAAAAACATGGAACAATTAGTGACAAATGTCTAAAATCATTTAAATGACATTGGATCCACATAAATTATTTAATCAGTGTTTAGATATTTTACAAATTTTAAAAGGGAAATTATACTCTTATGTTGCATAAGATTCATCTCTCAGGTTACACTCACATAAAAATATGTGCCTCACTTTTTTTTCTTTTTTTCTTTTTTCTTTTTTTAAAAATGGTGGGCCCCACATAATTTATCTCACAACATAAGATAACTTCTCTCTTACAACATGAGATAAGTAAAGGCCAGTTTAAAAATACAAAAAAAGAAGAAGTTGTTAATGAATATGTACAAGAAATTTTTGTACTCCATATATATACATATATCTTCATTGTTTTTTTCCTTAGCAATTTTCACTAGTTTATAGCTAAATTTCTCATTCCTGTTGTGAAATCAAATACAAATAACACTAAGAAACAATTCAATTCCATTACCAATAGCAACAGTAGCTCTATATTAAAATAATATTTAAAAAAAGATAAATGTAAAATAACACTCCATTTTTCAAAAGAAATAAATTCAATAAATACAACCACACACAAAAAGTTGTAAATAAAAAACAAAAGAGACATGAATTTCACTCATGTTAAAAACACCCAATAAACAATTATGATCAGCAAAGACAAAGAAATTCTCTTTTACAAGGTTTAAAAATATAAATCAAATTTTTCCCCGAGCGAACAATATAATTACCAATGCATATTCCGAGAACATGTATTCTTAAAATCTTGAGAAAGGAACAAAACACCGTACCTTGTCGCAGAATGGCTAGGTTTCAGGTGGTGAGTGTGAATAAGAAAAAAAGGTTTAAAGAAAACCCTAATTAAAAAAAGATAAAAGGAGAAGAAGAAGAAAGCAATAAAGCACAGCTCTAAATCTTCGTCTGTTACCATTGTTAAAATTTTAGCTAGGGCCAACTTATAATTTTAGCTAGGACCCAATTATAATTACTTATATAACTCTATATAATAAATAAAATTTGTTAAAATATAGCCGGAGCCTAGGCCCTACCTAAATATAACGTGTCTACGCCATTGGTTGGCGTGCGTATGGAGAAGTACAGAAAAGAAAATGATATCCGGCTTTGGAGGCCATTCTCTCCCCCTTTCGATTTCTGTCTCAGTTATTGTTGCACCTCTTCTATCTCTTCCTTGTTCTTATGTACTCCTTCCTCAGAAGCTGTTATAGCATCATCAACCATCTAGTCACCCTTTTATAAGCCTGATTCTCTATGGTGCCCCCTGGCGTACACCCTATTTATGGGTGGGTTCCTATCACATACCTTAGTATTGCACAAGCACAACACCTCCTTGCAATCATATATGATATTTTATTATTGAGTGTAAAGAGTGACAGACAGATGAGTTACTCCTTTAGTCGTAGGCTTTGTGCTTTAGCTTACTTGGCAGAATGGTTGGTTTAACTTGAATGTGTAATCTTTTATTAAAGGGTTTTATAATTCTCATGTAATATAAGAATTATAATTCTCCTACACACCCTTCGATTTCCGTGCTGATATGGGCTCCATACATGATTTTTTCTAATATATGAGTCCTATATATTTTTTATCTCTGACATAAGAATTCCCTTCTCATGTAACGTGAGAATCATAAAGCCCTTTATTAAATTATCTCTACCTGTAAATCATTTTAGACTATTCATATGCGAGTTTTTTTTTTTTTTTTTGTATAAATAACATTTTTCCCATTCTCATTATTTTGGCTCCAAGGGGCGAACCAGAGCAGTGATAAAACTATTCCTTCATGATTTAAAGGTTATGGGTTTGAATCCAGGAAACAACCTCTTTGCAATTATGTAAGGGTAGGGCTGCGTACAAAGATTTTCTCCATCCCACACTCGCTAGTCGGGTTTAACGAAAAGTGGTTTTTTTTTTCCTTCACTATTTTGGCTCCATGAAGACATCAGATGTATATATGACAAAGTATGACTATGGACACTCATTTTTGGGTTTTACAACCAATGGTTGATTGTACAGGTTGAAGTCACTTTGCAAGATGGAAGGACATTTCAGGGTAAAGTGGTAAATGCTGACATGCATTCAGATATTGCTATTGTGAAGATCAATTCTGAAACCCCACTACCAGAAGCAAAACTTGGTTCTTCAAGTACGCTTCGTCCTGAGGATTTAGTAATAGCCATGGGCTGTACGCATTCCCTTCAGAATACTGTCACTTTGGGCATTGTAAGGTGTGAAGAAAAAATTTCAGATAATAATAGATGGGTCATTGTTTTAAGCTTTTTTCTTTTGTTTTAAACTTTGCCATCTCATATAATAGATTTTGGAAGCTAAAGCTATATGGTTGTTTGGCGCAGTAACTTATTATTTGACCATGAAGCTTATTAAGTTTTAAAAAGGGGCTCCTGGTTTTCTTTTTGACTAATGAAATTTATGTCTTGTATGATTTTCGCATAGTTGTGTTGACCGGAAAAGTAGTGATTTGGGTTTTAATGGCACGCCAAGAGAGTATTTACAAACAGATTGTGCAATCAATGAGGTATATTTTCCTCTCTTTCTCCCCATAAGCTCCCAATGTACCCAACTTGGTTTGCATTTGTTGTACGGACCAAATCTTCATGTGCATGTTTATTCAGTATGCTTGCGTGTTTTTATCTCCTTCTATGGTATAGGGAAATTCTGGAGGACCTCTTGTCAACATGGACGGAGAAGTTATTGGTGTGAACCTCATGAAAATGATGGTTGCTGATGGGTTGAGTTTTTCTGTACCAATCGACTCTGTGCCTAAAATTATAGAGCATTTCAAGAAAAATGGGTATGTTATTGATTTTATCCTTACTATTTTTATTCCACATGCATTGGAAAATAGGATGTAATTTGTTGTAAAATATTGTCAGCTTGTCATTTGTGTTATGTTACATTCAGAAAAGGATGTTTTACATTATGAGATGAAAGTTAAATGGGTTAAGTGTGTGTCATTTTAAAGGATGTAAAGTTGTGTCATTTTAAGAGAGAGAAAAAGATAGATAAAGAAAGAGATAAAGTTGACAAAAAAAATAAAGGTGTGGGTCCCACCTCTTTGTGAGAGTGAAAAGATATAAGTTGTGTCATTTTAAATGATAAACACTTTTCCCAAGTTAAATTACGCAAAATATTTTACAATTTTCATTTTAATATATTATACAAATAGTCCATAAAACATTATTGATTTAAATATTTTTATGTCAAATTCATACACTAGTAGTTGATCTCTAGCAGGTTGAGGAAGTCAATAAACATTACTTAATGTTGTCCAGGAGAGTAGTGCAGCCTTGGATTGGGCTAAAAGGGCATGATCTTAACGAGATGATTAATGCGCTGCTTCAAAAGATAGATGCTTCATTCCCTAACATGGATAAGGGCATTTTTGTATCATCGGTATGTCCCGAATTAGTCATTTCTATCTATCCTACTTTTTTACACACTCTACTGTGCCAGTATGAGCAAATGGCCCTTGAAATTGTATTTGTGTAATTTTTCAAAGTCTACATTCACTGGACATAATCTTTATGCTTTTTTTGGGAGACAAATCAGTTGCAAATATGTTGGCAACAAGTAAAGGATTTTTGTTAAAATTATCTGCCTTCTTTGAGGGCAATGCATTGGCCAATAAATAATATTTCTTTTTGTTAGGATGTCAACTTTCCAAAGAGACTATTTTAGTGAAGCAGTGGTCAGTTCACACTTTCACAAGCTTGTTATATGTAGCAGGCTGCTTTCTTGAACAATGGCTCTTTGTGGATCCAGAATTAGGGATGGATGTTGTGTATTTGTGAATGATAATGGATTAGTAAACTAGAAAACTAGGAAATAGGAACCTAGAAAACTGAGAAACCATGAGCTATACAATGCTTAATTTGTTAATGAAGAAGTTAAAGAATGGAAAGACTAATAGAGGCCACTTCCTGCACTTTCTGATCATGTGGCAAATGTGCAATTCTCTATTTGATTTGGTTTTTCTTAATTTATGTTTTTCATTGTAATTATCCTCTGCATGGAATTGTTTCTTTTCTGGAATAATATGCATTGCGTTCACTAATGCAAGGCAACCCTTAGAATTCTTGAAATTATATGACTTGAAAGTTTTTGACTAGGCAACTCCCGGGTCCCCTAGTGATTATTCTGGGTTCCGTCCAGGCGATGTTGTCGTTGAATTTGATGGGAAACCTGTCGAAAACATGAATGTGGTATTGTGATATTTTGTATATTATTATTTAACTTTTATTCTAATTTTGCTTTTGAAGTGAGATGATTTGGTAGAAAATACAATTGGACTATAATTTGATGTCTCTTTGGAGTCCTTGGGCTATATTTGGATTGATGAAAAGGAACGGAATGCTGGGGAATGGAGGGTAATGCAACGTGAACATGATGGAATTTGTTCCATTCCATCCATTACCTTTTTTTTCTTTCCTCCCAAGTTGAGGGGATAAAATGAAACCATTCTAATAAAGATATTGGTCCTGCCATTCCATCCATTTTCCAAACATTGGAATGGACTTTTTATTCTGTTCCATTATGAAATATCCAAACAATAGTATGATATCATTAGGTATCCAAACATATCCTTATTCAACGTGTTTTAAGCTTATTAAACGTGTTTAGTTGAGAGTTTTGTTTACTTACACCTAGTGCTAATATTAAAAGGCAAAATTGAGAATAAAAATTTAATAAGACCCATCAAAAGAAGATGGCTTATGCTTACGGAAAGCATTCAGCCGACGATCAATCACATCACGATCCTCAACCGGCACCACATAGGGCTCCATCACCCCGGTAGTATGACCAGTGCCCCCAACATTGCTATGGCTCTCCTCTTGTAGACTATGTGGAGGTGGAGGTGGAGGCGGTGGTGGTGGCGGTGGAGGTGGTGGCGGAGGGAACTGACCAACAGCAGGACCAGCCCTCATCTCCTCTAACATGACTCTCATCATGGTCATGTTCGCCAAACGGTTCGCCTCAAGAACATCCTTTGTGGCCTTCTGGTTCGCTTCCTTAACAACGTCCATCATTGCCACGTTGGCCAATCTAGCGGCCTCCTGCATCTCAGCCAATGCAGTCAGGATTGGGTCGGGTTGACCCTCAACAGTCTCTCATGTTTTTCCAGGAATTTACCATGACTCTGTACAAGTTACACAAATTATTAGTTGATCAGGCCCATGCAATGTGATCCACGTACGCATCATCATAATAAAATCCAATGGAGCAAACACACAAGACAGACACAACCAAACATCTTAGTTATTGCAATACATACATGTTTTTCCCTAGAAAGTGCTTTGATACCATAAAATGTAACACCCCGTATATATCCGGTATGTTATCATATCATCGTATTAAGCTACGCTTAATTTAAAAATGCGAAATATCTTTTTTTTTTCAATTATGATGTCATTAATCATTACCAACTTGCTTATTAATCAATTTCATAAAACATCGCATGTATATAAGTATTGCAAGACAACTAACTGAATACCTCAATATATAAATAACGTGAGTATCTAAGTCACGGATCTACAACCCGTAATCCGGACAATATCCTGATACATTATGAATTACAACACCAAAACTAAAAGCATAAAGTCAAGTCAATGTGGCATGGACAATCCCCATGCTCACTCAAAAGAGGCAACAAAGCCCAACATCAGTCTCAATATAACCATAACATGAAGCTAACAACATAAAAGCAACAGACATATCTAGCATCCAACATGTCAGCATATAAACAGCAATATCTAACTCAGCTACGGCCTCCTGCCGCCTGAGGTCTCAACCCTCGAGTTACCTGAACCTGAAAATGGTGCCCCAAACGTGGGGTGAGATCTCTAAAAAGAAATCTCAGTAAGACAAGGGGTCCTCAAGGATCATCCGCCCCAAGCTCACTTACATGTGCAATATAAGTTCCAAAAACAATTTAACAGTATAAGTTCCAAAACAGTGCAATACAACAGATAATCATGTCATGTGTGTTTATACAATTCTACTGATCAGAGAAGTGTAGGAATACGTCTATTACCCACACGATATCAGCTTATGTTGTACCAGTCCATGCTGTATCCGCCCACAGGATCGCCCCATGGCCTCCTGTGTAGGCATAACACCACATACATATCATAAAGCAATTGCACTTAACAGCTCCATAGCATTTGAATAAACAGTATATCATGAAAACAACATCATGCATATATATATCATACCCCATGGGACATGGTGGAACCAACAGTGGCTAAACCGAGGACACGAAAGCTAGCTATCCAAGCCAAGAGTCCACAATACCTCAGAGTCCACAAACAACAAGATCACAATCTGTTTGGGCCAACAATATTATCAATATTTATGCACAACAAGCATACGATTTAAAGACAACGCCATTTCTTTACATTTTACGTCTTAAGGCTTCTCACAAAACCACAAGCCCTTAATCACTTGATTCTAACTTACATTAATTATTACAGAAGCTCAACTTCATCATTCTAGGGTCCACAAACCCCCCCAAAAGCCTTCTGTATGAACAATGCAGCTACTGTTCTTCGCCAACCCAGAATATCCGGATATTTGTCGGGGGCATATCCGGATATCAGAGATATCCGGATATCACATATCCGGATATCATATCCGGATATTTCGCGACAGAATGCAATTTCTGCATTTCGCGAAGATATCCATCCAATGTTCCATTTTTAACACTTCTAAACGTTAAAGCATGCATTTTAATTCTGTTTTAGGTCCACATACCAGTGTGTTACTTGTTTAACTCATTAAGCATACCAAGACATCAAATTTAACCCATTAAACTCATGATTAAGGTAGGGAACTTACCCAAGGCTTCAAAACAGAAGCAACAAAGGCTCTTGGAGCTCACTATGAAGCTCCCATGGTGCAGGTTACACGGAACACGAAAATGTGAAGCAAGGTTGACCCTTTCACCACAAAGTTCAACACTTGGAGCTCAAAACACCCATGCTAGGTAGCCCTCAACCCAAACACCCAACTCAGCCCCTAGACTCCACCAAAACAGAGGTCACAACTCAGAAAATGCTACCTCTCCCCCTCACAAGGATGCTCACTAGTGTTTACCAAGGGAAAGAAGAGAAGAATCAAGCAAAAGATATCACTTTGGCTCAAAGAAGGATGAAGGAGAGGTGGTGGCTCATGGAGGCAGCAGCTCCAGCAAAATGGTTCACGTAGGATGGCACAAATGACCTAGGATCATGTGCCATTTAGCTATTTATAATCACTTACGGTTTAATCGCGCTATATTAGCGCTAATCGCTACGCTTAGCATTTTAATCCTAAACTTTGGAATCTGAACCTACTCATTTTTCTAAGATTTTTCATATTTTTATTTTATTTTTCGGAGCACCTTTCCGGTACGCACTTTTCCATAGCCAGCATCAGTTCTGACACTAGTTCTCATTATTTTAACTTGAAACTCGTTTTACAAGTCCTATATATTATTTTAGTAATTATCATGTACTTTTTATAATTTTTCGGGATACTTTTTCGGTACGCATTTATACCGAGTAGCAGAACCGGTATAACACCTCACAATTTTAAATCAAGTAATTAAAATATTAAGTGAGCAGTCAAGTGATGGATTAGTGAAAATCTTAAAGATTAGGCCAAAATACAAAGAAAGGGCAAAACGGTAATTAGCCAACACGCAACCCTAGGCAGATAAAAATTGAGTAGAAGGTCTCCGATGATAAAAATAACCCTGGAAATGGATTCAGAACGAAAAATTGAGTGGACAGGCAAGTTTCAGAAAAATCAGTGAATAGTATTTTTCGCGGGTAAAAATACCGCGTTACAATTGCACCGTAAAACGTGCCAGTTGAATTTTGAGCTCTAGGTTTCAAATATGAGTTATAAATGGTTTGTTGAGTTAGGAAATATAATTTTGATGAAATTTGATGGAATTGAGTCATTTTGGGAAAAATTGATGAATAGTGATTTTTCAGTGTAAAAATACTGCGGTATAATTGTACCGATAAGCGTGAAAATTTTATCAGTATTTTTGGGAAACAAAAATATGACATGAACAAGAAAAATACGTAGGTCATGAATTTATGGTTGAAATTAGTGATTTATTTAGAGTTAAATCGCGTATGGGACCCACATGTGGTTTAAGTGACTTAAAAGTCACATTTTCATGACATTTTCTCTCTCCTCCCTCTCTTCTCTCCCGCGCGCAGCAGCCACCATGGCCAAGGATTGGTCAAGCTTTCTTCCTTCCATAACTTGGTCATTTCTACACCGAATCCAACGATTTTTGTCTTGAAACTTGTTGGAAAACACCTCCTAAACACATTGGTACCACTCTTGAACCTTGAAATCGCGTGTGTGAGGAGATCTTGCCCTATTACAGCCGCGGTTTTGAAGGTAGATTTGGTGTTCTTGGAGCTTTTAAATGCTCCAATGGTGGAGTATGCTTAGGAGGAGTCTATACCTTCCGTTTGGGTGAGTGTTCTTGCATTTTAAATGGTTGATGGTGATGATTTGATTTTGAAAACCTAAACTTTGATATGATGAATAGTGATGTTAGAGAGCTCAATTTGAAAATGTGTATTAGATGATAATGTGTTAGAATGATGTATTAGAGCTAGAAATGCGATGAAATTTATTGGTGAAAATTGATGAATTTAACTTAGAAAAATTTGATGATCATGATTTTGGACTTGTGAATTTTGGTGTTGAGACTTGTTTGATGAATTGTGGCATGATGGTATGATGATATAATAGGTTGTATGAAGGTTGGAATGATTAAAGTTGTATGGAAATTCCTTGGAATGCCATAGGTTAAAATTCGATTCTTTGAGGAAAGATTGAGGAATTGATGTTGAAAAATGAATTGGATAATGATTTGTGTAGTTATATGGTGCTTAGATGGGTTGTGTTGTGCTTGGAGAGTGTTGGAATCAATGAGAAAATTAAATTGTGTTTAGAGACCTAAATGAGCCCAGAATGAAATATTTCGCAAAACGATGCGTAAATGTCGGAAAACGGAAAAACGACGATTGAACTAGCCTCTAAACAACCTAAGGGAGTGTTATAAAATGAGAAAGAAAATTTAGGAAAATAAATCTCAAATTTACACCTACATGGCCGAACCTCCAAGGGGAAAAGGGGTGATTTGGCGATTTTCGCGTTTTGATGTAATTCGACGCGAAAATGACGAACCGGCACT